TACCTTGAAACCAATGAAAACCCAAAATAGTTTTCAGTAGTGGCTAACAGAGGCTTAGCCCTTTGTGTGAACCCCCCCACACACACACACACACTGAAGCGATGCCCCGGCGGTGGTTCCCATCCTCAACCCAGCCAGTGCCACTGTCCCAACCTAGAAGGGACAGCTGTCCACGGGCGGGAGGCAGGGCTCCGTGGTGGAGAAGAAATGGGGCTGGGGGGAGAGTATCCTGAGTTCTGGCCCTGGCTGCCAGCTGAGTGGGGTTTGGGAGGACAGTGGGAAGGAGAAGGGCATTCCAGGCCACAGGAGGGCCTGTGTGGGGGCACGGAACACAGAATCCGCTGCAGGTGGCTGAGGGGCACCCGGAGGCAGGTGGCTCGGCCTCAGCTGACCCTGAGGAGTTGGAAACCACCTGGCAGTCAGTGCAGCAGCGTGAACGGAGCACAGCCCGGTAGCTCAAACCTCCTGTGCTGATGGTCCAGCTCTGCTACTTTCTGGCCGTAAAATTGGCACAACGGGACTGTTTTGACAGAGTTGTTTTGGCGGGTGGGAGATGTCGAATGTAAAGATGGCAGTGCGTGGTATTTTGCTCAACTTGGAGATGTCCCACCGTCCAAAGTCACTTCTTTTAGCGAGTGGGTGCTCCTTGAAAATATCTATCGCGGCGTCAAAAGATCACTTTGCGGATATACGGGCTTTGGATTTAGGGGAAACTCCTCAGAAAGGCAACCAGTTGGAAGGTCACTGTGCCTTCCTGAGTGAGCAAGAGACTCAGGTAGGGCGATGGAGTAGGGCTGGGGGCAGAGGAGAGGAGGGACAGAAGCAAGAGGTGTTTGTTAAGCCAAGGTTGTAGAACCTGGGGTTCAGTGGAGGGGGCAGGCAGTCAGAGGGCTGGTGGGTTGGAGGAGTCAGACGTTTGTGATGATTACCAGGTTTTTGCTTGGACGACGGATCGATGCTCATGCCCCCATCTGATGCAAAGATGTAGAAGGACCGAAGAAAGGGCAGGTTTGGATGGAAGAGCTTGGCTCTCACTTGGAGTATAAGCAAAGCTAAAACCAGAAAGTCAAAATCTAATCAAACCTCTGGGTTATCTCTCGGCACTGGGTCAAAATCCAGAGATTTGTAAACAGAGGCAGTAAGTATATCATCATGAAAGGACACTGGATTTGGACTCAGAAGACCAGGCAGGTAATCCGTGTCTACCTAATACTTGCTGTGTAATTTGGGGAAAATTACCAAGCCCTTCTGAGCTTTGGTTTCTTCATCCATAAAGCAGAGATAATGATTATCACCCCCCTTCTACCTCCAGTGCGTACAGTGGGGGGGAGATTCTCATAAACCACTTGTCCTCCAGGCCCTTGGTCCCTAGTGCCGCAGACCCACTCAGATACGGGGCCCTTCATGTAGGGTCTCGCAACTTCGTGAGGGTGAGGGCCATGGAAGTTTCTGTGTTTTGAAAAGGCAAGCGCAGGGTTCCAAATTCTCCTGGATGCCTTCCATGACAAGGCCCTCTGAGAGACTCGGGAGCAGGGACAATGTGCTGCTTTGTGGAAACACAACACTCCCCGCCATCTGCCTGAGGCAGAGGGAAATGGAGACAATGTCCTGTTCTCAGCAGGAAGTGCTGCCATCAGGAAGAGACAGAAAAGTATCTGTTCCCCTTGAGCCTGAGAAAATGGCCACTGGCAGTTCTCCTCAGGCATCCCTGAAGCCAAGATGAGAAGGAATATGGGAATTTTGGTAGGAAAGATAGAAGGAAATAAATACGGAAGCTTAGAAAGAAAGAAGGGATGACAGAAGGAAGGATGATCAGTAAACTGGCTCTGTCTCCTTGAATTTTCAATGATCAGGGTCTAGGTGGCTTCCAGGGCACATACTAGTGACCTGCCCTTGTATCTACTTGCACCTATTTATTCTTCATGATTTCCTGCTGGTGGCATCTTTTTGAGAAGTCATTCTTCACTTCTTGGATGAGTGAGATAGTCCTCCTGGATGCTCTCATAACACTCTCTCTCTCAACATACCCTCTTCCTTTTATTTCAGCGATCTATTTATGTGCCTGCCACCCTCACAAGACTGGGCGATACGTGTCATTACCACCCCCACTCCCCCATGAATGGCCAAGATGGTTGGAACTCCGAGAAATTAAATAACTTTCCTAAGGTCACAGAACTTGCATGTGGCACATCCAAGATTTAAACCCATCTTACTTTGGTTTAATTCCAAAGCTTTTAATTTTTCCCATTTCAAACTGTTTTCTACAACAAATAGATTTCTAAAGTGCCCCTACAGGAAATGTGTTTTCCCTAAAATGAACCTCAAGCTGGACACTCAAGAGTGGTCCCAAGGGTCTTGGGGCAATGAAATATTCTGCCTTTCAAAGAGAATGATCTTATAATTCACAAGTTTGCCTTTCAATTAACTGAGGACTGTGGCTCTTTATTTAATGTTATTTCTACATAATCTAATTTCGGCTGCAGGTTAATGGACCCGTGGGGAGTTATTGCTACTTCAGTTTCAAAAGCATTCAGCAGCATTCCCAGATTATTGGTTGTTAATGGAATCACCCAGCTGTTTTGACTTTCTCCCAATCTTTCATGAGGTGACCCTAGACAAGAGGACGAAAATGGAGGCAGTGGGACTCGCTTTTTGGTCGTTGGAACTTGCTGAGTCCTCTCTCTGCCAGGCCCCCCGGCCACACTCGACACCAACACCTAGAAAACCATATGCTCATAGCCAGACACAGCACGTCCTATGCTATTTTTCATGTAAAAACATTTCCTGAGCACCTTGTAGGTCCAAGGTGCTATGGGTACTGTTGGAAGCACAGAGATGGGTCCAATATGGCGGGAAGAAACCCATTTGGTTGGGATAATCACTAAAATCTCTGAGGTGTGGTTTCCTTATGTGCCTTATGTGCCCATCTGAACTCCCATCAAGATACACTGATTGTTCATTTATTCAGTCAAATAATATAGACTGAGACTCTACTACGGACCTGGTATTTTCCTAATGGCGCCTTCTGATGATTCCAATCTTGTAGAAGCCTCTGGTCTTGTAAGGAGTACAGACCAATTAATTAATAGGCAATGACAGCTCACGGTGATGAGTCAATGATGGAGGAAGAAGAGGGGACCATGAGAACACAAAGGAGTTATTCCTGTTCAGGACTGAGGAGTCAGGCAAGTCTTCCTAGAGTGTCTCAAGGTGTAGTCTGAGTTTAGACCTGAATACGAGTAAGAGACAGCCAGAATTATCAGGAGGCGTGTGTGGGGGGCGGGGCGGGGAGGACTGTTCCAGTCAGAGGGACCATCGTAGGCAGATCCAAAGGATGCAGATCATGTTGGGGAAAGTGTGGTGGGGAATGTCCCCAAGTAGAGTTCCGAGTAAGGATACAGGGAAGACGAATGAGGCTGGAGAAAAGAGGCACATGCAGAATGGCAGGCATCTTGTGAACTTGTAAATAGAGTGGACTTCATCCCAATAGGCAACATAGCGTGTAAGATTTCACAGGTGAGTGACGAGCAGATTTGGACTTTAGACACACCATTGGGCTGCTCTCTGTAGACTTGATTTGGGCATTCAAAACTCAGAGAGTGAGCAATTGGGCCAAAATGATGGCCAGAGCTCCTGAAGAAGCACGAAAGGTAGAGAGAAAGGGGACCAATTTAAAGGGAAATTGGGAATTGGTGCCAACAGACCATAACGTTGGATGCAAAGTGAATTCATGCAACTGCAAACATTTGACTTTTAGAAAAACACAAACTAGAAAGTCGACTTCAGCTTGCCTCAAGCCCAGATTTCCACCTTTAGTGAATTAGTGACACCTAAGTTAATGAGGTTTTTCTATATTGGAATACTAGATCAAAGCCATTCTACTCCAGAGTTTATGAATTTAATAATATTTGAAGAAGAAAGCGTTTGGGAGTCTAATAGCATGAGATGGCTTTGATTGTAGGCTTTGGGGTGATTTGGGATCCAGTAGGTCATGGAAACTTTCCCCAAATGATGACAAGGTAAATGAGTGGCTTTTATTTTAATGAGAGCCATAGCTTCAGTTTCATGGGTTTATTAAATTATGTTTCACTGATGGAATATTTCATTTGCTTCCGAAAGGAAAAAAATCTTCCTTCCTCAAAGGCATGGGGACACAAAGATCAGTGGCCTTTTTCATAGGATTCCAATGGCCTCAGAGCTGTAGAGAGGCAGACTGTCTCACAGATTTTTTTTTTAAAGTATGAAAAATTTCACTCTGGTAAAGATGATGTTTCACATGTCCCAGAAATCACACCCAAGCCTTTGTACCACTGACGTGTCAGCAGAAGTGGAAGGACACGTTGTCTGGAGGCCAAGCAGCATGGTTTGGAACACCTGCTTTCACCTAGACCAGATGCACAAGTTTGGAGAAATGACTTTGTCTTTCTAGTGTGTTGTCTTGTCTGTGAAATGAGAATGGTGAGATAATCCACCTCCCAGGGCAACTGCAATGCTCAAATCAAAGCATTTCCTTCCTCACTTCCCTGACACTCAATTTTGTTTTCTGCAAGATGAGGGAAATAAATCCTGTTTTGCCACTTGGCCAGTTGCTAGAGGCTCGAGAGAAGGCTGAGGCTCAGGGTGGAAAAAGCGTTTGTCCAGGATCAGACTGGCAGCAGAGTAAGAGCTAAGACTGGGAGTCCTAAAGCCCAGAACCCCTGCCCTGTGCCACCCCAGTGCCCAGGCAATGGGGACACAGGGATGCACTTCAGTGGTGGAGACTCTCTGAGATCTTTCTTTCGTGCCACTGGTTAATGCAGGAAGCGCTCCGATGTGAGTTCAGAACCCTTCATGCACAAAAAGTCCTTGATTCTGAATCCCAAGCTCTTCTCCAACCACAAGCCCCCTCAACAAGGGGAATCTTGTTTTCTACCCCTTTCTCAGCAGCTCCCACCCTGTGTCCACCATCCTCTAGACACCTACCTTCCCAAGGGCCTTTGTCACACAGTGTGTTTGGGGCACTCACCTGAACATTGTCTGCTCCCCTTCGGATGCTGAATTCCCAGAGGGCAGGGACTTGGTGTTGTTTCCATCTGGAAGCCCTCCTGTCACCCAGCTCCCACCTGGCTCCTACAGGCACTCAACAGTGTGGCCAGCGTTAAATCTATCAAAAGAAATTTGACTTCCATATGGTTCACTTGTAAAACATGAAATTCACTGTCTCTAGAAAAGATAGGAGAGCATTATCCCCGGGCGGGCTGGGGCTGAGATGAGGAAGGAGACTCTTTCTAGGTCACTGACTAACACGTGTGCCACCCAGACAGTATCCTAAGAAGCCTTTAGCCACACAGATCCCATGCCTGCTCTGCTCCCTCACTCCCTGTGACAGCTCACCCCACCATCTCCTCCACTATTCCAGTGCTCAGATCCTGACCATCAGATGTGGATTGATGGGGGCACCTGGGCAGCTCAATCGGTTGTGTGTCCATCTTTTGATTTTGGCTCAGGTCACGATCCCGGGATCGTGGGATCAAGCCCTGGATCAGGTTCCATGCTGAGCGTGGAGACTGCTTAAGATTCTCTCTGTCTCTCTGTCTTTCGCTCTCCCTCTCCCCCTATGCCCCTCTCCCCTGCTCACACTCTCCCTCTCTTAAAATAAAATAAATCTTTTAAAAAAGGCGGGTTGCTGTAGAGGGAACAAAATATTAGGGATGCGGTTGGGGATATTTAATAGATGACGGAAACAGGAGGTGCCTTGATGTGTGTCTGGAGACCTTCACTGCCCCCTGCCTGGTTCAGCCATCCATAACTTCTCACCGTGTCAACAGCCTCCTAACTTTCTCTCTCTCACAGCCTGCCCAGGGTTTCCCTCTCACCTAGGTCTGTGACAGGGGTGTGAGCTTTGCAGACCCAAGCTCAAATCCCCACTCTGCCACATGGCTACTGCTCTCCCCACCTGGCAGATTAGTGGCAAAGCAGAGAAATAATATAGTCTGGCACAGAGCAGCCATCCAAGAAATGGCTTATGTTGTTTAAAAAAGAGGGTCCCCGACTGCTCAGCCCGGTGCTCAAGGTTTGCTGCATTCAGGGTCCTGCCTCTCACTTCTCGGCATCCCACCCTCCGACTCTGTACTGCCATGAAACGAGCTCAGCCCAGGGGCTCAGTGTGCTAGCATCTCCACGTGGAAGGATGCAACCGAGTCTTTGGGACCAGGGCGGGAGGCTGGAGTGGTGCTCACCAAGCGTGTCTCCAGCATTTCGGGGGACCACTTCTGACCCGTGAGCCATGAGAGAGGTGACTGGTGTCGCTCCCCAGTGAAGCACGGAAATGCTGATGCCAACCTTCCGGTTCTTTTTGTCTCCACTATAAAAACTCTCCTTGGAGTGCAACCCTGAGATCCACGCGTGAAGGAAAGCTACCAGGGGGAGTCTCTAGGACTTTGCCTGACTAGGCACTCAGCCTCTGCTCTGATAAACTGCACAGATTTGGGGAATGTTTGTTACTACAGCATAACTTAAATTATTCTCACTAATACACAGGTGAAATATTTATCAAGTATATACTATTGCCGACTTCACCTTTCAGTTAGCTAACTAATGAAGCAGAGAAGTAAACAGACAATGACAACAGAGTGCTATACATAGTCAGATACCATTTTTTCTCTGGGCCAATGGAGCAGGAGCATTTAATATGGCGTCAGAAAAGCTTTTCTGTAGTAACATCTAAATCAGAATCTGAAGAATGAATGCTAGTTTGGGGACAAGCAGGGTTGTTTTGAGGATTTGGTGGCACGTTATATACGAAGCTCATGGTAACTCCTAATAAATAATTCCAAAGTTCACCTTAATTTTCAAGTACTTTTTACCTGGTCACTAATCCCCTAAAACAATGCAAAGTCTCTTCCTTTAATTCTTAGCACAGAAAATCCCTTCTCTATTCTGAATTCTCTCTACCTGGAATTCTAGAATATCCAGACTTACTTTAGTAAAGTTATCCTGTATTTTATGGCCTTCACAGATAGTACAGACCAAGCATGAGTCATTCCCCATCTTGTGACTTAGAGGATATGTCTTAGAGACTGAGTCATAAAATCGTAAAGGCATGGAACATTTGGATGGGAGACCAAAGGAAGAAAAAATAAAAATTCCTCTTGGCATACAAATTATCTTGAAACAAATTTGGAGCAGGATGTTGAAACTGAAGGTTCTGATAAGCACCAAGAGATAACAGATGAGAAATTCAAAGCCAGATTCCCATGTTTGGAATGTACAAAGGAAATCTCAGAAGACCTGTCCCAGGGCTAAAGGACCCTCTTTCCCACTGAGGATTTGAAGAGGGTTAGGGAAAAGAAGGAGGAAAATCATCAAAGAGATTTTTTTAGCTGGCACCATATTTTGGGGTGCCAGCTCACGTTTGGTGAGACTCTTCAATGGAGTTATCCCAAGATATTTGAAATGTGTTCCCTACATTTGAGGTCTGATTCCTGATCATGAAATGTAGAGCTCAAAGGGGAGCTGATGTACTGACTTGGGTTGGGGGGAGAAACTGGGGAATCCTTCTTTGTGGACACCCAATGTTTCTTAGAACAAGAGGTGTGGAATGTCTCCCATGAGCCAGTGTGGGACTCTTTGGGGTGAGGGAAAGCCATGGTGGGTATATTCCAATTGAAAGGGCTTTCCAGGAGTCAGGACACATCCCATCATCAAGAATCTGGGTCCCTAGGGTCTGAGGAAGAGACAAAGCATCTTCCCAAATAGAGCCGATTCCACCTATGTGGCCGGAGCCTCGGGGGAGGTTCTCAGTGATAGATTTTTTGAAGAGCCTAAAAGTGCCCATGCTTTTGCCAGGTTCTGGGATACAAGGGAAGCTGATATGGTGCCATCTAAAGAGGATTTTACCTGTTCTTTTACCTCTCCTTCCTCCCCCACACCAACCCTGGAAGAGTCAGAAGCTTCTGAGAAGCTAGGATCTGAGAAATTGTTGGAGCACAAGACCAAGGAGTAGAGAAGTCAGTCCCAAAGCCCCCACCTCTCTCTCCCTCCACAGGCTTCCAGCCTAAAACATCTAAGTTTGAGGAAGGAGAAAGACTAACTACCAAATCTTGTTTAGGTTTTTGGATAATATCTTGGCCTGGGCACTCCATTCCTGAATCAAGACAATCTTTGGAACATAAGAAAACAATGGAACTTCCAGTTACTTGACAGTAACCAGAAAGTCTTGGATTGGCCTTATTCTCACCCAGGGGCAGGAGAAGATCGCCCCGTTGTATAGACTTTAAAGAAGTGGTAGGAGAACAAAATAAAGGTGAATTTTAATTGCTTCACAAGCTGTGCTCGTTCAACCTGCATCTTTTAAAGGATTTCCAAGCACCCCTTTGAAACTGCAGAGAAGAGAGATTTTCAGAAATTACTTAGGAATCAGAAACGGTAACTGGAGATCAGTTGTACCATGCCCCTTAGCATTCACTTAGGATGTGCAAAACGCCCCTCGTGTTTTCTTGATTTAGTATCAACTGTCATGACTTCCTGTTAGGAACCTTATTTTGTCACCTTGAAATTTTCATCCAAGCAGGTTTTCAGGAATAGAATCCTCAGGATTGGGCACGACGGGGTGAGAAAATCACAGAAGAGCTCTCCCACCGTCTACCTTCATCCTGAGCCATTTTTTAAGGTCCCTGAGCTCTGTCTGTTGTACAACCTGGACTTAGCTAAAATTCTCCGGATGCCCCAATCTACAGTTAAGTCTTTCCTCACCACATAGTCATCAAAAAGGCAAACCAACAAACACACATAGACGCACACCCGAAACCACCTCACAAATCAACCCTTTCAACCTGGAAGAGAAAAGTAGTGAGTTGTTTTTGTTTCTGTTTTTATTACTTCTGAAGGCTACTTAAGGTCACAAAGAAGAAGAAGAAGAAGTCACATGTACCAGCACCCCAAACTTCTAAATTTCTTCTTTAAGCATCTTTTTCTTTTCTCAATTTTTCCTTGCCTGAAGCAGCTGCCGTCTCTCTCTGTTGCCTGAAACCCTCCTTCCCACATCCCATCCCAGCTGCTTACCTACCTTGTACTTTGACTTGTGAACAAAGGCCCCACCTCTAGCCAAGTCCTGGGCAGCTGGCCCTGGACATGCCCCAGGCCTCTGAAATTCCTCCTGCGGTCTCAGGTACTTTAGGGTGATGGGAGCTGGAAAGGAGGGTCATAAGCATCAATATGGCTTCGTTGTTGATTCCTTCTAGGGTGTGACTACACATCTCTCCTGGATTTTCCTTTCCTGAGTGTTTTTGCCTCTGCACCCCAGACCTGAAACTGGCCAGCTGAGCCAGAGCTCCGGAAGAATTGCTTCCAGTCCCCCTTGAAATAAATGGGCCTTTGCATTTGTGGGGCCTCCTGGGAGGGAAAGAGTTAATAGGACAGACTCCCTCTAACTCTGACCTCACAGGCAGGTCAGTTCCTATCATGGCATATGTTTGAGAAATCAGATAGCCCAAGAAAAATATTAGCTTCTTCTCCCTCCTTTTCTGCAAGCAGAATATGGGCAATAATTTCGCCAGCTCCTCAGACTCTGGTCCTGCTAACAAGCTCACATTCTCTCTTTTATCCACTCTCCTCACCAAAGCACTGCACACACAAGGCTACTCAAAATAAAAAATGCAGAAACATGCAGAAACCCACAGAAGCTGGTGACTTATTTTAGTGTGTACATTGTGTTCACGAATTCAGTACACTTGGGCATTCTCAAAGAGCCATGCTTCCTTGCCATCAACTGGAGGAATGGAACAAAATTATAAATTAAAGCCTATTGCCAAATATGTAAATACATATACATATATATAGGCATTTGTTCCATGAGTGCATCCTAATTCAGGACCTTCTTGTGAAGGCCAGTGACAAATATGTCTGCAAACTTTCAAGAAAGCAAGAGAGCAGGAAAAATAGAATACATTCGGAGAAATAAATTAAATTCTATTTTCATTACAAACAGCAGTCTGAGTAAATTCAGATTGAGGGCATCAGTCTTCACGGATTTCAAAGGTAGCAACACAGAAGTAAACAAATAAAAAAGCTATATCCACTTAAAAGCACCACGACATTAAAAAGTCCAGCAAAAGAAAAAAAAAAATCATCTCCTCTCTAAGCAATGACAAACTCGGTCCTCGGACAGCTCTGTGGAGGAAAGCTGTCACCGCTTGCATTTTGCATGAGAGATGCATTTTCAACAGAACTATGTCACCTAGTTTTTATTGCCTAATTTTACCTGGTGACATCCCCTCTTGTCACCCCTGCCCACACAGCCCATGTTGAACAGAGGAAGAGGCAGTGAACTTTCTGCTGGCTCAAAATTGGAGTCAGAACTAATCATCATCAGGAGACACTCGGGGGTAATATATGATGGGCCAGGGGTGGCGATGTGGGGAGGGAGAGTAGGATCCCAACCATCCGCCTCAACCTCCAAAGGAGCCACAAGCCCGTCTGGAAAACAGGGCATACTGGGAACAGCCCATCCGTTGTGTCTGTCTTAGATCTCTTCAACCCCAGTCTTCTTCACCATCCCCAGGGCTCCCTGAAATGAGCGTGATAATTCCTCAGACTGCCTGGATGGCCCCGAAGGGGAGAAGTAAGAACCATAGGGAGAATCACTAGGGAAGAATGTTAAGCTTCTGAAGGTCAGAGCCACTCAACCCTGGACTCAGTTGGTTGGAAAGGGTGGGTATTCTCCAAATACGGGAGGTGTTCACACATGTGTTGGTTAACCGAGCACCCAGGGCAGGAGTGGTCGAGATGGCTCAGCAGGAGAGAGAGGATGGAGCTGAGTAAAGGGCCTCAAATCCCCCAAAGAGCTGACAATGCAGAGCAAAAGAAGGCCTGGAGAGACATTATGCTTCCACGTGAAACAAAGAGAAGTCTCGGCCTGTGCGTCTCAGGAGAAGAGAACTACGACCGACAGCGGTGTAAGGAAATGAGGGAAGACTTGGGTCCAGTGCAGGGGGAGCTGCTGGACAGGTCAATCTGTCTAGCTGAAGGGATTTCTCTGCAAGAAGAGCTGGGCCTCATTGCCCCACTGAGGTTTGAGGAGGCAGTGTGATGGAGGCAGGTTTGATGAAAGCTCTGATGAGATCACTCATCACTCATCTGATGAGTGATCTCATCAGAGCTTTCAAAGGGCCTTCTTTCCAGGGTGACAGTGTGAACCGGACTCTTGAGGGTCCACATGGTCTTTGCGCAACTCTGACCCCATGACTCCTTATGAGATGGGAAATGCATGGCCCACGTGCTGTGCCCCCTTCCCTCCTACCCTTGGCAAACATCCCGAAGCAACAACGGCCCTTTCTGGAGACGTTCCTGATGACTGTCTCCAAGGAACTGTCAGCAGTCAATTCTATTTTGCATCTTTAGGTAGTGCCATATCCCAAAGCGTTTGTTACTGATCCAAACTTAGCCTTGAAAGGCGTGTTCTATGGACTTGACATGGTTGCCTAGGACACCCAACCACAAACAGACACAGACACACACATGTCCTGCCTCCTGCCATGCTTTTTCATGGACTTCATATTTTGGTTAATGGCAAGTCAGGTGTGTCTCCACCTAATCCTTTCTTCCTGGCCCTGTGACCACCATGCTTCTGCATAGTCACCATCTTCCTGGGACACTGGCTCTCCTATAGGAGAGTATGTGTACTCCCATTGTCCTAGCTGATCGCCCAGCTGAGCTGGAAGGTGGGATTGTGACAGCCAGGCTGGAGCAAAGGATAAAACATACGCGTCACAACTCTGGAGCGTATTTCAGACATACAATAAACTGAGCACCTCAGAAAAAGTTGCCAATGTGGTTTAAGAATCAGAAGTTTATGGACGCCCGGGTGGCTCGGTCGGTTGAGCATCTGACTTCTGCTCAGGTCACGATCTCACGGTCCGTGAGTTCGAGCCCCACATCGGGCTCTGTGCTGACAGCTCGGAGCCTGGAGCCTGCTTCGGATTCTGTGTCTCCCTCTCTCTCTGCCCCTCCCCTGCTTGTTCTCTCTCTCTCTCCCTCAAACATAAATTAAAACATTAAAAAAAAAGAAAAAAAGAATTGGAAGTTTAAAGGGCCAAGCCCAAGTGGGTAAGCAGACAGGCAAGAATGAGATCGGAAGGGAGCCAGCCCAGGGTGGTAAATGGGATGGGGAACTAAGGGAACATCTCAAGACAATGCCACCAGCATGCACCGAGTGGCCTCGCCCACAGGTGGACAGGCAGGGAGGAGGCTAAAGGGCGATGAGTTTGGCCCCTCAACTCTTCTTTCCTTATTATTTGTGTCACATTTCCCCACGCCGATGGGCCTGCCTGGGCAAGGCCGGCTGGGATGGCCCAGGACTCCCCGTGGGGGAAGCAAGCAGATACCGTCTGCCTTAAAGGACTTGGGAGTGAAGGTCTGCACATGTCCCCCAGGAGATCTTAAAACAGTGCTATTCTCCTGTCACTTCCTCTGCTCTAGAAACATTCCTGGGGCCACCACCACCCACCACAGAGGTTGAAGTCCAGACTCCACTGTTAGACTCTCTCTCCATCCACTATCACATACCTCTTTCCATGCATCCACCTGCTAAGCAAATATTTATCAAACACCCAGTATATGCCAGGCATTCGGGAAAAAAAAGCTGAGTGGAACACACGCCCACTCTCAGAAGCTCATCACCGTCCCCCCAATACATTACTCTCCGGCCCCAAATTTCCTTCACCTGCTCATCTTCTATCAAGCCTATGATAGAAACGAAGAGCCCATTCCAACCTAACAGGTACCCTCAAATCACCCTGGTGCGAGGGCAAAAACTCGGGAAGCAGGTCAGTCTTGGTTTGAAACCCATTTCTGTTGCTTTCTAGCAATTGTTTTTTGAAACTTTCTGCACCTCGGTTGCCTTACAGCGCTGAAGTGAGGGTCACATGATTGAGGGTCTAGTTCACAGTGAGTGCACCTGCACCATAGTCCTCACTGTTATTGCCATTGTTATTTTCGCTCTCCTCTCTGAGCCTTGCTGTCCGCCATCCATCTCCGATGAAAGGACCCGACCCGTGCATGGCCAACCCTTTCCAGGCCTTGAGGGGCCAGCCTGCTCCTCTGCTTTCTTCCCACCCGGCACCTGAGAGCCGGACGTGGGATTCTGCCTCCCGCAAGGCCTGGGAAGGGACCCCTGTGAAGATGGGGAAAGGTCCTCAGCCTACGTGGGTCCTCCCATAGAAAATCCGGGATGCTGCAACCAGGGAGTTTCAGGCTTACTGTGAAGCGAATGAAGCCAAGGTTTCCTGGAATTACAGCCTCATAGCGTCCGCCTGCTTTAGGCTCGCTGCTTCCCTGAGGGTGAGTTCTGCCTGGACTGCCCCACATTTCAGTCCTTCCAGCTCCTTCCATGCCTGGGGCAGGAGGGGAAGACCACCATACTTAAAAATGCCTGAGGATAAGTACAGATCTGTCACCCCCGGAGGTAAAGATCTCTGACAAGAGACTCAGTGACAACAGACTCAGGGATTATTAACATTTTTATACTACAAAGGAATCACCGGATGATGATGAAGATGAGGATGGGGATGATCGAAATGACAGGTGGTTTTTATCCCTGTCTCTAGTACCTACCTTGGCACGAAGTAGGTTTCGCAGCAAATATTTCCTGTCTAGATTGAATGATCAATGAATTCCTGGTTTTGAAAGTGTTTCCACCAAATAAATTTTAAGTAGTAAGTCACGGTTTCCCTTCCTAATTAGGGAGACGTGCGGGTGAATCCACAGACAATAAATGCAAGCAGGGACCGGCAGCCAAACCATACGAGCAGACGCTGTGGGCTGCCCAACCAATGCCCGTGGCCTTTCCCCTTCTCTGTCCCAGCAGGGCTCAGCTCTCCCGACGGGGGATGAAGGTGCCAGATCCTTGCGGCAAGCGGTGGCCCAGGGATCAGCTTGGGCTGATGAGGCATAAAGAGAAGTACGCAGTGTTCAGAGTTCAGGGGAGACACCCAGAAAATGCTCATCCCCACCCCATGATCAAAACAGATTTAAAACAACACAAAAACAAAGAAGAAATAAAAAGAAAAGAAAGCGCTTACCTCCCTTTTCATTCTGGCATTGACACCTTGGGACCATGAGGGGTGGGATGATTTATGCCCCGAGAAGGTCAGCTCAGAGAAGGGGGGCACTTAGGTCCTTGTCGAGGGCATTTCAAGATGCTGAGTCAGTACTCGAACCAACTCCAGCTGGACGCCTTCGTATTGCAGAGGAAAAGAAAACCCTATTGGTCAGGCCACATTTAGTGGATTAATCTGTTACTGTCAGCTGGAAGCGTCCAAAATGATAGAGTTGTTCCCTGAGTTAGCCATTGCTGTGGTCGCCTGTGACACTCTCCTGTACAACTGCCACAAAGCTGTGGGTAAGCTTTCGGGTCGCCTGTAAGTCGGCCTTATTGCTTTTGGGAGTCCCACAAGAAAAACTGACATTTTTATTTTCCAGAGAAACAAGGAGGGAGACCTGGGCTTTTTTGTTGGACATTCAAGGGACTGAATCCTGCCTCCGCTGCTTTGTGCACGGGCAGGCGCTGACCACCCCAAAACTGCCTTTCGTCGTCTGTGATGGGAGGCCCAGTGGTGGGACGGAGTCCAGCTGGTGGAACTGAATGAGGTCATTCACTGAGGGCACCCAGCCCAGAGCCCGGCGCGGGAAAAGCTCAGTCAGTGTCGTGCTATCATTTCTGTTCTCCACCTGTCGAGCTGCGAGTTGAATGCTTTTCTCGTTGCCTCGAGACTGGCCAGCTCTTGTTCTCCCGTAGAGGAAGGTGAACACTAGGAGCAAAGGAAGCAGCATGAGTCCCTAGAGAGGCTGGAGGACTGCGGACAGAGGTGAAGTTCAACTTCCGAACCAACCCTTCAGAAGCCTACCCTACTCGGGTTTCTGACCTTATCTGTAGGCGCTGCTGGAAAAGGACTCAACGTTCAGCCATCCCCGCATCGTACGTACGTCCACCTCCTTGGTGATTCCGCATGCATTTGCCCAGGCCATTTCCAGGCCTGGAGAGCCTTCTCCACCACCTGGCCATCCCCTGCTTCTTCCACAAGGCACAGTTCAGCCATGCCCTCCGAGGAAGGTCCTCACCCACCTCTCCGAGTCGGTGCCCCTCTCTGCTGGCCCCACATGCTCCCTGCTGGCCCAGCACAGAGTTCTTCACTGACTGCCTCCTCGCCCCCCAACAGTTCCCTTGCGTGTTTTCACTAAATGTTAGTTGAATAACATGCCCATAGAAAAAATGGCTGGTAAGTAAACATCATTCTGTGCAGCTGTATACTTCATTTAGGAAAGTTATTTCTCTCTCTCTCTTTTTTTCTGTGAGATAAACCTAATGTGTTTATTACCTCCAGCATTATTTTTTTTTTTTCTGGGAACCTTCTGCTTTATTGCTGTAAGGAGAATAGGCTGCCACCACCTTACTTAAGGGAAAGTGTGCAAGGAAACAAAACATATGTTTAGAAATTGAAAAAAGCACAATTAATAATTCATGAGTCACAACAGAAATCATAATGGAAATCTAGATGTGAATGACAACAAAGGCATTATCCATTAAAACTAGAGTAATGTGGTTTAAGAATACTTAGAGGGAAATATATTGTCTTAGATGTATGTAGTAGAAAAAATTAAATCTTCGGAAGATATATATTTAATTCAAAAGCTGGAAAAAGAACCATAGAACATACTGAAAGGAACTTGAAATGATAAAATAAAAATAAAATCAAACTGCAATTAAATAAAAAAATGTAAAGACATTTCTTTTTTTAAAAGGTAGCTAGTTCATTGAAACGATTCATAAAATAGCTGTCTGACAAGATTGCTCAAGAAAAAAGAAAAGACATAAATAACAATAGTAAGAAGGACAAAGGAAACATAACTGCAGTTTCAGGAGAAATTTTAGCAATAAACGATGCAGTGAATAGTATTATCACAATAATCATGATAACCAGATTAAAATTAATATTTTTAATTAAAAATGACCACGAGGTACTTGGGCATAAATAGAAAGCCTGAAATGACCATTCTGTAAATTAATTTTATGATAAAAAAAAAAACCTGCCCCCTACAGAGAACACCACAGCACGTGAAAATTGCAAGTTTTACTAAACCTTCTCGAAATGGACAGTTTCTATCATCTACACACTCTTCTAGAGACTAGAAAGGGGACAACCAGCTGAGAATAAAAGGAAAAGCAAAGCCTGCTATTTCCGAGTGGACACATTCGACTATGGGTTAACCCTGGACACCTGATAAAGGTGAAACGTCAGCTCTCTTCCGGGCAGCATAACATATGGTTAAGGAAGGAGGGGGAAAAGCCCCATGATTGTGAACTAGGAGACTTGGAGAGACCATCAATGCCTGTAGGAAGCTATAAACTTGAGCTTCCCTACATGGGGTTGATGTGTAAATGGGCACGTTGGTTCTGATTTTAGCCCGTGGTTCCTAAATCTACCCCTGGGGTCACTGTCCCCACACCTGAGAAGTCACTTGGGTGATCTGAGAATAGCCAGTGGACCGCTGCGTCACCTGCTACAGAGACCACCACCACGGAGAGATGGCCTGCCACAGGGGCGGTGTGCGTCCTGCAGCCTTCCCAGTGACCTGGTGCCAGATGTGCCCTACTCAGATCTAGAATGTCCAGCTGAAACTGAGACCACGGCTGGCGGGCGACTGCAAGACCTAAATCATAAGGCAAGATAAAAAACTTACCTGGTAAACTCAATAGCAAAGAGATGAGAATAATAGTGAAAAGGAAAAATTCCTGGCAATAGCGGTTTTGAGCAAATAATGCAAAAATCCCAACATTAGCAAATGGATTCCAGCAAGGTATTTAATCACACAAAAAACATGAAGAAAAAACGTTCCGTGTTAGAAGAACCTATTGATCAGATTTACCACCTTAGGGGATTAAGGAGCAAAACCATGGACAAATACTTTTGGTTAACTCACCAGCTGTCCCTACCCTTCTCCTTTCTGGCCTCCTTTACATTAAATGGTGCCTACTTTGCAAACAGTCTTCCATATAGATCAATGAAAGAAAGGAGATCCCAGAAAGAAAGTCACCCATATGTTGCAACTTCATTTTTTCAGATTTTTTGGTTTATTTTTAAATAATCTCTACACCCAACATGGGGCTTGAACTCAGAACCCCGAGATCAAGAGCCGCATGTTCCATCAACTGAGCCGGCCAGGGCGCCCCCATATATTACAACTTTAGAAATAAACTAGGATTACAAATCAGTGGACCAGAAAGGGCTGTTCAATTGATGGTACAGAGCAATTGATTAATATGAAAAACAATAAAATTAGATCTCAACCTCATGTCATTACCCAAAAACAAATTTAAGACGAATTAAAGCAAAATTTAAAACTTGTAAAAATAACGGGAACATATTGCGATACATGGGTTGCACAAGATTTTTTTCAATAATACCAAAAAAAAAAAAAAAAACCAAAACACCCTCCATAGCTTATTCTAGAAAATATGAGTAAATACGATCATTTTCACACTGGTGGCAAAATGCAACATACGGAATATTAGAATTTAATATTTACAATTGCAAAAACATACGAGGCAATGTATGCGAAAACGGGCGCCATGTTTGAAGCAGGCTTCAACCCCCAACCTCAGAAACTTCACCCCCAACCTCAGGTTGATGGCAGCATGTCCCCCTGGGGAGGGGCAGGGATCAGAAGCAGTAAGAGAGAACAGGACCTCACCTCTACCTCTGATGCTTTCACGTTTTTTTTTTAAAGCCCTAAGGCAAACAGAACGAACGTTTACCCCTGTCCATTCTGGATGGTGGCTACCTGCTTATTTGTCAGAACAATGCTGCCTATCATTTTTCAAATATTTGAAATTTTCTACAATAAAAACAGGACAGTGAAATATCTGTCCCTTGTATCCTATCTCCCATGACAACCTGGATGAAGTCCAAACATAACCAGCGCTAGACAGAAGATCCTCTGTTACTGGCCCCTGTCTCCTCACTACCTCAGACACAGTCCTCAGTCCACAAGGAACCATTTGTTGCTATAACATACAGGCATACATGTGTTCACACACGCATGTTCACACACACACACACACACACACCCCTATGCACCCGTGCAAACAATAGCCCTGATTCCTGGCTCCAAACCTTCGTCCTGTTGTCCCTTCTGTGCAAACTCTTCCTCGCACTCTTGGCAGTCAGTCCCTCACTATCCTTCAAGAAGCCGCCAGGGGCATGTTGTCTGCAAGCCTCCGTTGGTCCCTTGAAGCCGACCCCTCTTTGCTGTCACAATGACCCGTGCCTGTCTGTCACTGCACCCAGGGCGCTGTTGTCTCACTATACTGTCGGTGCCAACCCCAGTGGGTCATAGCTGCCTTCCTGTTTTCAGTGCTTAGAACAGCGCCACCTAGTGGTCATCCTCCCGGTGCCCCTTGATCGAAGAATGGACTTCCTCCACGTGGACAGCCAGGACAGTTGATTAAATATGCAAGTACCCCCAACGATGTACATTTTTCTTTGGGTACACAAGCGATGTCTTTTATCCCTGCATTTGGCAAGTCTTTAGCGCTCACGGACAGCACATCGGGTTTGGGGAGAGACAACACTGGGCTCCGACCTTCCCCGTCCCCGTTACCACCTGTAAGACTTGGGCCAAGTCGTAATTTAGCTGTGACGTCCACGCTAGACCCTTTGGGTGAAAACCACCCGTTGAGTGAGAAACGCGGGATGTGAGACAGAGGCCGTGGGCCGGGATGTGGTGAGGACAGCCTTTGGCGGGCCACAGGGGAGTTTTGTAGACCTTGGTTCCTTTTCATAAAATGGAGATAAAGTATCTCACGGAGCCCCTGGGAGGATTAGCGATCATGTGTCTAAGGGACCAAACACAGCACCTGGCCCTCGCAAGAGCTGAACAATCAGCACCTGTTTTGAATGTTACAGCTCTGACTGTGGTGAGGGGGCAGCATGGTGCGTTTTCAACATCTCTGAGCCCTATTTGTTCCAGAACTTCTCATCCCAACTGTAGCCTGCTCCGGGGCTTGAGGTCGTTGGAGCCGAAGCTCTTGGCAACCCTTGGTGTACTTCCGAAATCTTGTGGAGCTTTTTAAAAAGTACAGCTCATAGAGTCTACTGAACCAGAGCCTCTGGACTGGAACCTACTATCTTTTTCTGACTTTACCACCAAGGCAATACAAGCGCATAGCCAAGGCCACAAAGCAATAGACTGAGGCACGACCTGTCCAGGCTCCCCTGTTGGAAGGCAACTATCACCTGGGAAGGTAAAAGAAGACATAGCCAGGCTTTCCCACCTGGAACGAAGTCCCCATCGAAGTTAATTCGATGTCAGCCACGGGAACTGAGAGATTCCTGATATGTGGCTTGGGGAGGACGAAGCTGACGTGTCCTCATCTGTAAAATGGGACAATAACAGTGGCTACTTCCCAGAGTTGTTGATGGACAGAGTTAACAGACAGCTGTTCAGGGGGCGCCTGGGTGGCTAGGTCAGTTAAGCATCCGACTTTGACTCAGGGCTTGTTCTCACGGCTCAGGAGTTCGAGCCCCGTGTCCGGCTCTCCACTGACAGCTGGGAGCCTAGAGCTTGCTTTAGATTCTGTGTCTCCCTCTCTCTCTGCCCCTCGCCTGCTCATGCTCTGACTCTCTCTCTCTCTGTCTCAAAAATCAACATTAAAAACCTTTAATAATAAAAATAGCTGTTCAGTACATGAGTTCTCTGAGAAGGGCTGAGTGGGGATGGGGACGAGAGGCTAGGCCAGGAGTGTAGGCAGGACGCCCACCTGACTGGTGAGCTGGGGCCCGGCCCGTCTTCTGTACCAGGTCTTGAGGGCAGAGTCCGCTTTTCTGCGTCTGTTTTGTTTTTGTCTTGTACACCTTTCACCTTCCAGGATGCAACACAGGGCCAGGTTTATGCCTGGGACTCAGTAATGCATGTGAAGTGTAATTGATTTACATATTTCAGGGGAGACTGGTCATTGGGATCTCTGCCCTTGAGGGTATTAGAATCCAGGAGAATATCTGAAGGTCTCCGGAAGAAACAAATCAGGTCAAAGCTTGAAACCTTAGCTGCGACTGTGCTCCTTCGCTGTCAGGATTGAAAATGACGAATTGGGCGGTCTGCTGTTTGCACATGGTGACCCGGGGTGCGTCCTTCCCCCACTGTGACCTCAGTTCCCCACCACAAATGAGAGATTTGGACCACAGTCCCAATACCCCCTCATCCTCTAAGTCCCCCCGCAAGATGGCAGGTGTCCAGAGAAGCATCGAAACCATCTGGGGCAGCTGCCCTGAGGTGCATCAGGCAGCTTCCAACCCACCATGCAAAGCCTTCCCCCATTCCTGCGGAGATGTCTGCACCTGAGTGAGGCACCTGTCCCAGGGCATAGGGGGGAGGGGAGGCGGGGGCGGGGTGTAGCCGGGCCTGCAGAGGTTCCTCCAGTGAGGATTGCCAAGGGCGCCCCAGAGCCACAGCCAACAGTCTTTGCTGCAACCCTTTCTTTGGAAGCATTTTCTCTCTGATCTCAGTTCCTTGCATCAGGCTTGTGGGTCCCCTTACTGAGGAGGCGTTTGGCAAAGCATGAAGGGCAAGACTTCCCTGGAGAGGATATTTTTCCCTCATATCAGAGCCTTTCAGGGCAGTGGGGGGGGGGGGGGGCACGGAATGAGTGGGTGTCTAATCAGCTCCTCTCCTGCAGAAGAGCAGGGACAGGGTCTCTCCTTCAGGCCCCACAAGATTTTCAGTCCGAGGAAAGACAACTTCTTTCCAAAAGATCGGACTCAGGTGTCCAATTCTGCACGAAGCCTTTCCTGGGCACCTGCACCTCCAAAGCTGGGCCTCCCCTTTCCTGTGCCCCCAAGACCTGGGCTCTGGAAACATCCCCCCTGCACGCTTGCTCTCCAGATCCACCCGGATCCCGTGTGCGCTTCCGGACAACTCTCTGGCAGTCGTCCCAGAGGTCCAGGACGGGGTCCCCAAGGAAGGGAGTTCATGGGGCAGGTGGTCTCAGGAAGCACGTGGGAGCAGTGGGGACGAGAAGAGAGAAAGGTCACGGGGATGGTGTGTGAACAGATGAGCCCTCCCCCACCCCACCAGGATTTCCTGAAGAACCTTGCAGAATGAACCTCGAGCTGACCCACTGAGAGTCCACGGCAAAACAGCAGCGTGGACTTGTGGATTCCTCTGCCTATCAATTGGGAGTTTGCCTAGGGGCGTGAAACGTCCTGCACTTGTGGGTGGCCCTGCTACAAGCGGGCTGGGAGGCTCCCCTTAAAGCCCTGAAGCCTGCAAACAGAGGCAGGGCACACAGGACAGCAGGGGGCGCTAGAGAGATGTCAGCGCTGGGTCCTCTCTGCTGCGTAGCTGCTGCCCGTGGTCCACGGTGGCCCTGCGTCGAAAGTCACGTCTCTTGCCGGATGGTCCTCTCTCTAAGGCGCTCTCTGCCTGCGATCTGCTAACTTCCCCCCTACTCCGCCCCATCCAGGTCCAGGCGACTGCCCCCTGCCCACGCCTCTGCTAATGGGATCTTCGTTTCCCTGCCCCACACGCCCAGAGTGTGCGTCCTGTCCTTCCTGCCAGGACCGAGCTGTCACGTCCTGTTCTGACCTAGGCCCTGCTGTGACCTCCTTCCTCCCGCTATGGTCTCCACTCCCACCGACCTCGTGCAAAGGGGGACAGTCAATACATTTTCCCACCCATGGGTGTCCTCTCCATTCGATGCAGCTCGGGCCATTTGCTGTCGCGTGGGGGTCAGGGGCACTGA